CTGGTTTTCAGTATCGATCCCAAGGGCTGTGAGGATGTGGATGATACCTTGTCTGTGCGGACTCTGCCTGGGGGGAAACGGTTAGAGCTGGGTGTCCACATTGCCGATGTCACTTACTTTGTCAGGGAGGGCTCTCTTACAGATCTAGAGGCACGGTCAAGGTATGGAAATTTGCCAGTTATTCAAAATATAGTGGTGGATTAATAGAGTATATTATTGTTTAGCGTATTTATTGTGATGTTTATTTAATTGGTTAATCTCATATTTTGATGGTTCATACATTAAAGTTGAAAATTTGAGGGGTTTGAAAGATTTTTTTTTCATGTTTTTGAGTCTCTTATGCTCACCAAGACTGTTTATTTGATCAATAGTACAGGAAAAACAAGACCTATCGTGAAATGATATTACAATGTAAAATAACTCTTTTGTATTTTAATACATTTGAAAATGTCATTTATTTTTACTCCATTACTCCAGTTTTCAGTGAAATCATCCTAAAATGCTGAATTGGAGCTTAAGAAACGTTTCTCATTTCTTCTTATCAATTTTGAAAGCAGTTAGGCTGCTTGATATCTTTGTGGAAATCGTGATACTTTTTTAGGACACTTTGGTGAATAGAAGGTTCAAAAGAACAACATTTATTTGAAATATGAATCTTTTGTAACATTGTAAATGTTTCTACTATCACTTTTGATCAGTTTAATGTGTCCTTGCTTAATAAAAGTTTACTGACCCCAAACGATTGAATGCTAGTGTATGTTTATTATCAAATTTCTGTGATGAATGTGGATTTGTGCATACATTAATAAATAAGTTGCATCTCTCTTTTCTAAACCCAGGGCAACCACTTGCTACCTGGCTGACCGCAGGTACGACATGCTGCCAGCAGTGCTGAGTGCTGATCTGTGCTCCCTCCTTGGAGGAGTGGACCGGTGAGTAACACACAAACCTTTCCTTGCTTTTTGAGACTTAAAAAGTGACCTAATATGCTGCTGGAACCTGACTTCGATAGAAAATAACAGGGAATCGCTCTGTAATATGTTGCAGATATGCCATGAGTGTGCTGTGGGAGCTGGATGCTGAGACTCTGGATGTGTGTACGGTTTGGTACGGTCGCACTCTAATCCGCTCCTCCTATCAGCTTCACTATGAGCTGGCCCAGAGTCTGCTGAATGGCGAGGAGATTGAGGTACCTGAGCTAAGCCGGCTCAAGGGTTCTCAGCGGGACCAGAAACTGGCTGAACTCTTGCAGGGCCTAGAGACCCTGACGAGGGTGGCCAGACACCTCCGTGCACAGAGAGATAAGGGTGGTGCTCTGGAGTTGGAGGGGGTGGAGGTGAGGGCTCAGCTGGATGAGGAGAAGAACATTACAGCCCTTGTGCCCAAACAGCCTCTGGAAGTTCATGAGACTGTGGCAGAGTGTATGATCTATGCCAACCACTGGGTGGCACGCAAGATACAGGAGAGCTTTCCACACCAAGCTCTTCTGCGTCATCACCCACCACCCAAACAGGAGTTCTTCAATCACCTCATTGGCTGTGCCAAGGCCCGTGGCTTCAGTATTGATACTAGGTAAACAATAATTTACAAAAGTTTGGGTAACATGTTCTTGAAATAAGTCACCAAGGCTGTATTATTTGATCAAAAATAGAGTACAAACAGTAATATTGTTAAAGCTGCAGTCCGTAAATTTTTTTGTTTGAAATTTACAAAATTTATATAATAAGCGAGTACACCATGAATCCATTTTCCAAACCGTGTTTTTGGCTTGTCCTGAATCACTACGGTACACCTATAATAAGTGTTTATATTCGGACTATTTAGACTGGTTCAGGTAGGTACCGCTGCGGAGTAGCCCAGTACCTGCGTGATTCGCCACAGACATAAACAGAGAGAAGTAGCTCCGGCTACAATGTTCTTCCGCAAGACGCACGCAGTTCTGTTTATTAATCGCTAGAGAGCCAAAAGTTACGGACTGCAGCTTTAAATAACTGTCTGATTTTTCAGCAGCCATTACTCCAGTCTTCAGTGTCACATGATCCTTCAGAAGTCATTCTAATATGCTGATTTGGTGCTCAAGAACATTTCTTATTATTATTATCAGTGTTGAAAACAGTTCAACACATTTTTTTTCAGGATTCTTTGATGAACAGAAGGTTCAAAAGAATAGCATTTATTTGAAAACGAAATATATAGTAACATTTTAAATGCATTCACTCTTAGTTTTGATTAGTTTAATTCATTCTTGCTGAATAAAAGTACCCCAAAACTCCAAACATTTGAACAGTATTGTATATCTAAATAAAGATAGAGAAAAAAAAAAAAATAAATAAAATAAAATATATATATATATATATATAATCGAATCATAATATAATCAGTATAGTCAGAGATAGATTACATACATGCATGTATAATTATATGTGTCTGCATTGCTTAAACTAGGTCAAACAGAGCTCTGGCTGATTCTCTGGAACGAGCTGTGGATCCTCAGGACCCCCTGGTGAACAAGTTAATGAGAATGATGGCCACCCAGGCAATGTCTAATGCCCTTTACTTCTCTACAGGAGCCTGCCCAGAAGAACAGTATTATCACTATGGTACATGCCTTTCATTCTGTCATCATTACAGATCATTTGTAATCTCATTATGACAGTATAGTATGAATAAACATTCTACCATGACTTAAAACCTCCATAGACATAGTGGCATTTTGATCAATTTGCTCGCTAGAACTAAGAAAAAGATGAAAGCATGAATCAGGTCTTGCTGTTTATGTCATTTTCAGGTCTTGCTCTGGATCGATACACTCACTTTACCTCTCCAATCAGACGCTATGCTGATGTATTAGTTCACCGGCTGCTCATGGCTGCTATTCAGCTGGAGGAGGAAGGATCACTAAGCAAACCCTTCGCTAGTAACAAAGAACTTGAGGAACTAGCTCAACATATCAACAATAAAAACAGAGTAAGTGGGGGCCATTCGTTTTTGTATCAAATATTTCATTGTAGTAAACCTGCAGTAACATGATTGTCTGGGAAATTACCCCAACACTTCCTGCACTCTCTGTTTGTGTGACAGGCAGCACAGCATGCACAGAAGCAGTCCACGGAGCTCTTCCAGTGCCTCTACTTCCGAGACAAAGACACACACACAGATGAGCGCTGTGTGGCTGATGCTGTGATCTATGCTGTCCGAACTAATGGTTTTCTGGCCTTCGTACCACAGTAATGACCTGCTTATGGAATACTACTTAGTGTTTGGACCAAAGAAAAAATGTTAAACACAAAAAAATTAAGAAAAGTGTACACTACTATGCATACTATGCACACTCTTATGTTCACCAAGGCTGCTTTTATTTGATCAAAAATACATTAAAACAGTAATATTGTGAGGTATAAATTTAAAATAATGTTTTCTATTTTAATACATTTTAAAATGTAATGTATTTCTGTGGAAAGTTGAATTTTCAGCAGTCATTACTCCAGTCTTCAGTGTCACATGATCCTTCAGAAATCATTCTAATATGCTGATTTGGTTCTAAAGAAGCATTTCTTATTATTACCAGTGTTGAAAACAATTGTGCTGTCTGTCTTTGATGAATAGAAAGTTAAAAAGAACATTTATTTGAAATGGAAAGCACAATGTTTTGTAAGTTAAAAGATTAAGTTCATGCTGAATAAAAAAGGGAATTAAAAAACTATGAATTTCTTTCAAACAAAAAAAATCTTACTGACCCCAAACTTTTGAATGAACTGTACACCAAAAATAGCTCCTGCATATAATGTGGATATGATGTTTGATTTCAAGCTGCTGTAACACTTATCTATTCACACAGGTATGGTTTGAAGGGAGCGGTGTACCTTAAGAATCGAGAGGGTCAGGTGGTCAGTGTCGATGGAGATGGAAGGTGCGAGTGGAAGGCTGGGATATTGCAGAGATACCCTGACAGGATCAGCACCTGTACCAGCACTGGAACTCATATATTTGACCTCTTTGACCACGTTACAGTAAGTACATTCTCAGCAAACAGCAAAAATCACATTGTTTGTGGCACCGTTATTTGGACCGTCATAGATATGTGTCTGTTACATCCTCTGACATCATGTTTTCCTCCTTCCTTTCATGCCCGTCTTCCTTTGCAGGTTCGTATCTCTGTAGAACCGTCTCGTTGCCATGCCGACAGCTTGTGTCTGGAGCTTATCAGCAACAAGCCACATTGCGCTGTGCAACCCGAGTCACTGCCAGCTGGTCGCGGTCGGTCTGAGCTAGTTCAGGAAGTGGTGCGCTGGGCAGAAGAGGCCTCAATCCAGGCAGAGGAAGAGAGGGGGAGGAAGTCCAAACTGAGCAGGGAGGAGAAGCAGTTCAGACAGAGCAGAACACCAAGCCTCTATGTCCTGTTACAGGAGATCAGTGAACTTGCCCTACTGGATCTGTCCGTCTGTCAAATCAGAAATACAGAGGAACAGATTTGCACTGCATCTTCTTAGCTCTTTTCTGCTGTTTTTACAATTGACTAGAAAGCTTTAGGGATGGTTTTGTAATATTTGCCATGAACTTTCATTAAAGTGTCCAGATGTGAACAAAAATAAGTTATACTTACTCAGGATTTATGAACACTGGCTCCTTTGCTTTGTCCAATACATGATTTCACTAGGTCCTCCTGATGCTATTATTATTATTATCACCACAGATAACATGTTTTGGGCCTGTTTTTGTGGTTAAATGGGCTCTTTTGCTGAGAAACCAGTAAACTGGTCAAACTTAATTTCCTGTGAAGCCAATGGCTTTATATTTGAAGGCCATCTTCCTGTCAAAGTTTTAATAGCAATGAGTCAAATGGAAAAAAATGTTTTTTTGAAAATGTAAGAAAAACCAGCATGTAACAAATATTTGAAGCAGGCTTATAGATTTTCCAGATGTTTGCATTGTTACTGCTTTTATTAATATTATATTAATATTTTTTAGGAATAAAATGTATTTTTATATGTAATGTTTTTATGATCCACATTTCTTTTTATTCTATGATGCTACTGAATCAATGTGCAAGACACTTAATCATCTCCACTAAAAGCTGGAATACACACTACACAATTTTGCCCAGTTTTGCCCCAATTTAGTTGCACAGAATCAGTCTTGAGCTAAAAATCAAAAATCATTTGTAACATTTTCATTTGCCATGTGTCTCCTATCAACAAAGTGCATATTTATTTTGTGTTCCGAACGACTTTAAAGTATGGCAGTGTGTGATCCTTAGTTGATTAGTATATGATGCCTAGTGTTTTAAAATCTGTTCAGATTGTAAAAGTTGTGTACTTCAAAATATAGATCTACACAAATTACATCACATTAAGGGTTTTATACATTTTTATTCAGAAAAATTGACACTGAAATAAGAGAACAGGGATAAACATAACTGACAGTAACATTAGAAGGTGATGACAGACTGACATTTAAAAAAAAAAAAAAGTAATGGGTCAACCTCAAAAGCTCTTTGTCCTGTAGTATTGTGTGATTACATTAGGACATTATAATAAACTAGCCAATAATAAGAAAGTGGTGATTTTATTCTCAGGTTCAAACTGAGCTTACTGTGAACCTGAGAATAAAATGATGGGAAATGTTTTGAATATGAGCAAATATATTTCAAAATCCTCACAGAGGATAAAAGATGATATGACAAAATGCACGCACGCTGAATTAGATTAATGTGTGTATAAGATCATTAGCGGTGATCAAACCCAAGGTTGGCATTACCAAACATGTCAATGAGCTGCAAAAGATGTATGGCATATGACTGGGAAGATTTTATAAGGTTAAATGTGAAAAAGCCCGACTGATTGTAGTTGCCCTTCCCAAACAGACTTAATTTATTCATAGTTCTCTTGCTACAAAAGGGGAGGACTGGTTCAATTGCTATCATCTTCATCATCAACTATGCCATTTGGAACCAGACTAGCACACTCATTATCATATAAAGGGGAATTCTGAAGAGCAGCTGACTTTTGTTTGAGTGGCGTTTGTGCTGAGGTGCTCCGTTCGAAAGTGGCCTGATTCTCTTGACTGAGGTACTTTCCTGAAAAACTGGTTGATGGTTCATCTGCATCTGGCTGGATGGAATTCTGAGAGGATTCTGGGGGGGGGGGGG